AGTATAGGAGATTGAAATCAAAGAATAATCTAGGACATATATGAGTGAGGACGATTACCAAGGTTGAAACAAGCCAATCTAAAAGCAGGGCAGCTAACTAGTGTATTCTGGCTTGCTCTTATCAACACCTTATTGTAGACAAAATCCACACAGATTCTTTTATTTCAGAGAGACTAGCGAACGAAAAACTACTCTTCGAATACCATCCTTTTGACGATGATGAAAGTGGTATTTTAGATGACTAATTGGCATTGTAGTTGGAAATACTCCTGGACATTTGATGGATTAAACTAAAAATATGTCTAATGCGAGCGATGGATGTCCAAGTACGCTTCTGCAAATTCAAAATTAGATGATTTCACAAATATACCGATGATATTTCTGATAGTATACCACGAAAATCATTCCGTGTAGAGTTACAATTAACCAATCATTGGCGGGTCACCAAGAATATTTTCAACAGGTTGCAGACCTTTATCAACAACTGTCTTCGCTCCATACTGAAGATTAGATGGCCAGAAAGAATCACAAACAAGAAGCTATGGGAACAAACGAAACAGGAACCAATCGCCCAACAAATATGCAGGAGGAAGTGGAGATGGATTCGACACTCGCTGAGGAGGCCGTTGAGTGACATCGCGCGTCAAGCCCTCGAGTGGAACCCGAAAGGGAAGCGGCGAGTGGGACGTCCAAGGGTGACATGGAAGAGATCGTGTGAGGAGGAGATGAAACAGTGTGGATTAACATGGATGCAAGTGAAAAATACAGCAGAAGACAGAAGCAAGTGGAGGTGTGCAGTTGAAGCCCTATGTTCCACTAGGAACCCAAGGGAACAATAATATATATAATCATTGGTCGATAGCTTTGATACTTACAATCGGTTGTTGCAACATAGAAAGAATGCCTTACAACATTTAATCAGTCATATAACACAAACTAAAGAGTGAACACAAAGTTGTGTGCGTTTTTGTAATGTCTGTTTTTCAGAATAAATGTAAGGATAACAAAATACAAACTTGAGAATGGTCATTGTTTTCGAAAATTTAAAACTTTGAAGCTTTATCGCATAGAATAGAGGAGGCCTAACTAGTTATCTCCGAACTGGTGATAATAATTAGCCAATTATTTCATAGTTGGTCATTTCATATGAATATTTTGATCAAATTCACCTCAACATAATGGAAAAGAACTGCACATTCTTCAATTCATGGCAATTCTTATTTTTTGCAAGAGATTCACAAAAGTTTTACATCGCTGGTGTGTGCAATTATACACGTTATGATATCGATTTATGTTTGAATCTCATATGTTCATGCAGTCAAGCTTATTTGACGTCCGCCCACATCGAACATTGACAACTATGGTTTCATTAGAAACCCATTCTTTACTTCAGGAGATTTAAGAACCTTTGTGTGTTTCTGATGACAGCAGTAAATTGTAAACGTCGATGTGAGACAAACAATGATATCAGCATCGATGGATATACTGTGCTACTTTTCATGTCATTATTTGAAACCCGCACTCATCGCGACCTTCAAATTTAAGTTCAAGTCGAGGAAAATAAATGTTGAATTCCGAAAATAACTGTTGACTCAATGTGCCACTTATGAGGCAGAAACATTATTACGTTTAGTGGAGAACAGTGGAACCGTGTGATGAAACTGTTCCCCCTTACAGTACCACTTGACACGATCGTCCAGGTTGACAAAGTTCATGGTGTGAAAAGTGACGTTATATTTCTGCAGCCAACTGCCTTGTAGTGATTATATTCATCACTCTGAGATAATTAGCTAAAATAAAGAATTACTTCACTGTATTCGCTTCATAGTAAAGGATTACAACTGTGATTGTGATATAAACTCGAAATTTATGAAGTCAAATGTGTTTCCAGTCTTTCCACTGACTTAGTCTCGACCCAAGTGTCATCAACCTTAATTTCATTACATGCATTCAGCCGAAAAGATTTTTTGACTAATAGAACACTAATCCCCGGCCTTTTGACAGTCAATATTTTCATCATAACTCAGATTGTCCTGAACCCTCGACGACAATGTGAGCCTTATTATCAGACCGTCAAGTTCAGAGAACTGTCCACCTAGGCAGCAGTCCTTCTGTATCATTTCTGTAATCACGAATGATTTCATAAACTCAACAGTATTTAAATTCAGTGAGAAAAAGCTGTTCCGTTAACCTCGTGTGACAAATTGATTGGGGTGTTGAAGACAATTCCATGTTTCTCTAAACACATTCTACCTAAATTAGCGAAACCACATCTACATAGAAGAGAATATTTGGGTATGTTAAAAGAAACATTAGTCTCATATGCAACTGACTCATTTCACTGATATTTGACGACCCAGCACCGGTATCGGGAGATGAGCTCTCCTGTGCTGGACAGATTTTTGAATGTTTCACTTGTGTCTTAAGGTGTTTACCTAACAAACACCACTCTTAGGTATTCCTCTTCGAGAAACTGTATGCGCAGTGTCTAAATGTCGAATTAATTTTTACGTTTATGGCAATCGAACGGGATATGCATTTAATCATCTAACATGTTTGGATGAAAACTGAATGATTTTCCTGCCATAAAACTATCTCAACAAATTGAATGTGCGTACAATCTGCTAAGAAACAAATCAGTTTTCATATTTCGGTTGACGTTTTGGAGGAAATTTTGTAACAGGCATCATTTTAGAATACAAATGTACGGAAAACAATCAGAATTAGAAGCATATTTGTTACCGATAGTTTCGTTTAAATTTGTGCATTTAAAATTTATGAAGTTTGCAGCTTCGCAGAACACAAAAACGTAAACAAAGAGAAAATCAATCATATACTTTGTTATGAAGAAGTGTATATTTTGATGCATTAATTTTAGTGGTGATGCTAGTTCAACGGAAATATCCGGAAACCATTACACAAGTAACTGTGTGTTGTCTTCAACTGCACATAGTTTGAATCCACACGATTTTAAGCTGTCATATGTTTGTGTGAATAAGTTAACCATTAGAAACCAAATGATGAAGGCAAGAGTAAATTCGGTAGTGTCGGGAGGAAACCACCTCATTATCCATCCTGCGATATTGACACAAATAAACATCACCTAAATTGTAAAGCAATAATAAGCTTTCAGTGACAAAAGCCTATTTTCATTAAAATAATTTTATTGAAATTCACATTCCATAGTGAAACTACAGTTAATTTTTATGATCACAAATTACCAATTAGATATATTCTATAGAACGCAGTCTAAACGACTCAACTACTGACGAAATATTTTACGAATTCATAATCAACTTTCATTCTACAATAGAGGCAGTTATCATTGACCCTAGTTGGAAATTAATGATCCTTTGAATAATTCGCACGTTTCGCATGCATCTAGAAATGAATGTACATGACCTCAGTGTGCGTGTCAATTAGACAAATTATCACATTTTGGTTATTTAGTTTTGTCTTTTGTCATTTAATCTGTTTGAGAAGTCTTCACCAAACACACTTCAAGAACATCAACTTTACACCAATCACTGTATGGTAGATGACCCTGACTGATGTTAGCTAAAATCCTCAAACCTGCCTCATTATTGTGACAGTAAGATTTCAGTCCAATCATATCGCACAAGGCTTTTTGTCTAGAACTACTGATCAAATGTGTCAATATCCCTACTGAGGATTATAGAACGCATATGAATATCGGAATCACTGAGAATCATAAATTAACCAGTTTAGCTGAATGACTAACTATAGAACGAAGCTTCCACATCGCCACTTAGCGGTATCATAATATATTTCCGAATGTCTATAGTCTTCATCAAATATATATTACATGAATAATTAGTGAAAGTCATAATAAAATTTGCATATCAGCATATTTTTGCACTTTGCATCAACTGCAGGAATCACAGCAGCTTGACGTCAACATGAAATGAAGCTGGCAGTGATTTACAAACATTTCGTAATGGCCTAAACCCTATTTACTCATGGTGTGATTGCATTCACGAAAGTCATTCAAAACTAATAAAAATTAGTGGCAATCCTTCATTTATACTCCAGATTACACCCGCCTGACTTTCTTCATAATTCAGGTCTACAAATTCCACAATAAGTTCAGCAATCCTCTGAGTGAGATTTTGACGTCAAATACAGTTTGAATCTGCTTTCAACAAACACGGTAAAATGAATGATATTCGTCGTCATTCTACCACTACCAAGCACTTGATGTGCTGTGCGTAATTTAATTGCAAGAGTAATTGTATTGTACACACTGCATAAATCAAAAAACTTACAGAAAGTATAACTAATCCGACTGAAACTGCTGTCAGTATGCAGAGTACCTGAGTTTGAGAAATGCAGTAAAAAATGACAAATTCTCAGCAAATATACACAAGTTTTGTTACTGTTTACGAATTCCCATATTGAAATATTTAACAAAATAACTAATGCTAAGATGTAGCCATTCATATTTATCGAAACATGTTCAAATATTTTTCGATACAGTGATCGGGAATTATAATCCATATTCAATGCCAAATATGATATTAAATAGGAACTGCTAGTGTTACATGTCCAATAGTGCACATCAAAATGCCACTAATTTTATGGATGAATGAGAAGTATATGACTGTCTGTCACAGCATTGCACAAAAGCTACTAATCATTTATGTCAAGCTGCTTCTTATCAGGAAACCTCAGTGAAAGATCAGGCAAAGAGACTGAGGACAAATTTGAACTAGTTAGTATGGAATCTGGTGAATTTCTTGATAATTCCTAATGAAACGAATCGATCAAAATTCATAAATATGGTGGGGAATAGGAATCTAATTGAAGCAACCAGCTGGAGTATCTGATGTCTTTTGCCCAGCTGATATTTCATTGTCCAATGTACTTATCATCAATGTGAAAAAAATCGTAGGTGGTAGACTACTTTAGAATGGTGTGGAAATTTCATCTCTTTTCATAAATATTACACGTAAGTCCTTATAGTTTAAATAATTGCTACTTACAATATTTGATTCGGTGGTCCAGTAATTCCAAATCCTTCCAACGATAGCTGAAACTCCAAGGAGCCCTGATATAGTACAGAAGAAGATGAACCCCTTTTCACTCAATGGAGGCAGGTTGAAAGCCAACAAGACAATGATCACTGTAGCCACAATCGTTACAGCCAATGATATCAGAGCACATTTCCACTCAATAGATCCGATCACAGTGGCGAAGACCACAGACCACAAAATGACCTACATAAAGAAAATAATAATAATACCAATAAGGAATTAATGTATGAAAAATGACAAGGTATTAGGTTAATTAGGCAAATTTCAAATGCAATATTTCCCACTTTCGTTCTAACAGATGGACGCCATTATTATCGTCGTCAAGAAAAATTCAGAAAACAACAAGTCGTTTCACACACAAGCAGTCTGCGTGATTGGCAGTATAACTGAGATATTCCTCAGTGCGTAAATATTATATCGGTTGTGAAAGCAAAGTGAAGTATGAGATTCAATATACTGTGAAATTTCGTAATGTCATCATTATTGTATTGGGGGTAAAAGATGCTTGAATCGCCATGCGGATGCATCAGTACGAAATAACTACACGAATATTAAATAATCTCATCAATGTATGATGAAATAGAATGAAACCGAGTATAGTTAGAATCTGAATTGAGCAGGCAGGTTTATCCACCATTCAAGCGAACTACATATATGAAAGTGATTTCGGTGCATCAAGTTAAGGAAATTTCCACATTTATTTTTTGCAGACTGGTGATTCAAGTATTTTAACTGCACAAGTTCACTTATTATACTGCTTCAATGCATCGTGTGTCGTTAAACAATGAATCCAATTGTAAATGTTGAAGTCATACATGCATTTGAACTAGTTTTTATGATGCTTTCATCATCCTTAATACAATGAGAATTCACAAATATCTAGAGAAATGGTTTACCTTTTACTGTCTTATATTTTCTCATAGCTTTTGTTAATTAAACAGATCAGTTATTGGTATAGCTATTTTGAAGATGGAAATGGTATGCATCAGAAGCTGTACAATCAATCTCATTGACAAGATAACCATTGCCATGGCCATTTTTGAAATGACACAGCTATCATTTAATTTTTCATACGAAAACATAAACCAATTCTCATGGTATCATAAAGGGAAACGTAATGCTGATACTTACTATAGTCCAAAGCATTATACGAACGGTGATAATATTCGACCGAATTTTCATCACGAATGCAAATACAAGAAATAGAATGGTGACGACTAACCTAAAATGAATTCACAAACATCACATATTCATCGAAACTAGCACATAGTTGAAATGATTCATTGCGGGATAATTTCAAAAGACGTCACAATGTTGAAATCTCCTCTATTTGGTTAATGGAATACTCTACAATTGAATCATTCTTTAAAAGATTAGTCTCTGATTTTGAAGACAGATGTAACAGTCTAATTTGATCAGTTTGACAGAGAATTCTAGCGATTTTACTAACATTGCATTGAAAAAGGATGCAGTGATACACGGTTTCCTTCACAAGTGCTGACTATGGTTTCAGCATGAAGATATGAAGAAGTTTGTTGAAGGCTATCTTTTTGTATTTACTAATTACAAGACATGCACATTATTGAGAAATCAAGCTCTCTGATGGTCAAGAGAAATGTGCTTTCTGGAGATTTCTGTTTAGTTAGCATATTTGAAGGCAGATTTCAAAATGAAACTGAAAGCCTAACATGTAATGTACATAATACTCATCCTCATTTAACTTAACACTAGTTGAGGTGAGTTCAATGGAAGTATTGTATCGCCAAAGAGGTTTTGTGAATCGTGAATGAATAATCAATCCTGCGAGTCAGTGACTTGGTAGTAGAATGCTCACTGACTACCCACGAGATTTGTCGTTGAATTCATAATAGATGCATTCAATGACTTCACATGATCTGCTGGCCAGGTGGTAAGCGTGGTACAAATGAATGGGTGAACAAGGTTATAGCAGCCTTTCTATGTAGAAAACAACACCAACCATACTGAGGCACTGGGATCTCAAGTGTGAAGCCTTATTTTCGATTCGGAACACAAGGAGTGAATAAAAAGCTGACTGCAAATCAGCAAGCAATACAAGAATCAAAAAGTTTCCTTACTTATTTGTTATCTTCTCAGTCGTTTTGACGGAATCAATGATTTAAGTGTTAATGAGTGGCATATTCGTTGTTGCATTGCATATTCCTCACGTTAGCATTCCTACCTTGGAGTTCACAACAACTTATGTTTCGCAGATTCCGTCAGACCTAGTGACCGAATAGTCTAATTCATAAAATGCTATGAAATGAAGGCTTTGCGAATTCTTTTCCTCAAGCTAACTGATACCTTTCACAAAGGTTATTGCAGTGTAACAGTTTAGGCAAATAAAGCAGGACGCTGTAATATGAATGAATTACACTTCTCATCTTTTTCAAGAATAGTTAATTGGAATTGTAAATAAAAATGTTCAATAGATGACTTACATTATGGTAAACACCAAGTAGGAATGTTGCTTTAAAAACATCGGAATACCCTTCCTGGAAAGCAAGATACGATTTTATTCGTTTCTTTAATCCAACCTTACACAAGCACAAACAAGACGACTAAAATCACTGTCACCAGTATCAAGACCGCGATATCGATTACTAACTGAGAATAAAATAGCTTATTTAACAAATCCTGATATTCTTACCGAAATATAGTATCTGGGAAAAGGTTTTTGTAGTTCCTGGCTATTAATCTTCGGATTCACAAAAGATGGAACGAGACCTACCATTGTTGATTAAACTGGAATCTGCAAATAGAACTAAAATTGATGACAGAATTGCAACCGTTAAATAATGTGCCAGTATAAGTGTCGAACATAAGTCTCGTAATTTTAAACTTTTAAAACATTGGAAAGACTATTATTTTTAAGTAAATGAATATGATCATTGTTTCCGACATTATACTTTTCAAAACAGTGAAACACTGCTTTGATAAAATTCGTCATTCACACCTAATCTCATTTTTGACAGGGGGAAATGTATCATTATATGCACGAATGCGCTTAAACAGAATGTAAAACATGAATACAACTTCAATTATATTTTGAAAACACGAAAGTAATCATGACGAACTAGCACAGTTAAATACATTTTTCATGAGAATGAGATTATCCATATTTTGCGTATAGTCAGTGGGTGTAAATAAGACGTCAACAGGTGTGTCGTTCCTAGAAGAGTTGAAATATAACTGGTAATTGCCACATTCATATATCTAACACAAATTATTGAAAAACAATTTCCCTTTTCTTCTCAACTAATACGTTCCTCGCGTAAATGAAATAAATGGAATTCATGAGGCTATCATAAGAATTTATTACTCCGTGAAACTTCTTACTCTTAACATCACTAAACGGGTACTACAGTAATCTGGAAAAAAAGAGATTTCTATCCATTGACATCTGGAACTGAATATTCCCTTCTGAGTGTCTTTGTGAAAATAAATTATCGAATGAATGGAAAGCCAGCTGTCTGCTCGAATGATGGATTACTTGTCAAAGTGGTTGAAAACATGCGAAGTCAAAGTGCCAAAATGTTCGTTGACCAGGCACCCTGTTGCCTACTGACAGAATACTGACAATATGAAGTCAGTTACTGTTGTCAGCCAACAAATAACAATCACGAAGATGCTGGCGATTGTGGAGGCTTGTGTTACTGGAGTTTATGTACCTAGCCTCAACGTACCGAAGGGAATGGTAGTCACTCCGTATCTTCCAACGTAGTGTGTTTTAGTCTTGAATTGTTATGACTATTAAAACCTTAATTATTCTACCTGTTATTGATATCCCTGATTCATTTAAAACAATCCTTTATCAGCAGCATTATTGCCACTGGTTTTAACTTTATTATTAATTAGTATTACTGGTATTATTACTATTATTTTCAGTAGCATCACTATCGAAACTGATAAGTTTGCAATGCTTGATATTTTCAAGTTCATTCTCTGGTAACTAGTTGTTCACTTGTATGAAGTAGTTAAGGCATGAATCGTTATAACCTTTAATTCAATCTCCTAAACTCCCACTTTTCTATGTGAACATGACCTGAAAAAGATTCCCACCTGTCGTGCCGCATTATTGATTCACTTTAGTTCATTCGCTTATCAGCCTTTTATCCAGCAATATTATTCTAATGGTGTGAATATCTCTGTGTAGAGTATTCAGCTGTAAAGTTGTACTGAAAATTAATGAAGTTAATAAATCCTGGCCTGTTAACCTTTGTTGCTTGTCTTAAAGGGAATAAAGCCCATCAACTGTCATGGGAATTGGACCATAATCGATATCATCCATTCATTCATATTTAAGTAAACTCAAGAATAAATTAATTCAAACATAACGAGCAGAGAGGACACGACATTAGTTTACTCACCTTATGTTATGAGTAGCTTTAGATGTATGTGCCTTAGAATAGGTTTAAATTGTTTCGCAAATGTATGCATATATATATTGACTTTGTGTATGGTTATAGAAATCAATATTGAGTATACCAGTGATCAAATTCCGTTTTGAATCGCAACAATTTTCATGAAGTCCTTGAACACATTAAAGTAAAATTTCGAAATGGATCATAATTTCATAGTTTAAGTATTGGCGAAATTTTTTCAGACGAAATATATTCTCTCAATGGCTCAAAGGTTTATGAAGTACATAGATAACTTCAAATCGAAGAAGGTTTTTGTGTTTCTCACATATTTGACTTTCCTAACTAAACTGAATATTGGGAGGGAAAGACAGTGATTTTCTGCTAACGGATCGCGAACGGTATTTTGTAATCAATTTTTTGAATAATTTGGGCAAAGATTTAAGTCACGCGTAAAATCATAATCAAAGAATAATTATTAAACATGCTATAGGTTACAAAAATTCATTTAATACAATTTACAAACCCCACATTATGAAGTGCCTATACTGTATGTCGTCAAATGCTGTGTAAGTGTTGGTCAGTATGAAAGAAAAAATGACATCTTCAAGTGTGATTTGCGTAACTGCTCAGTTCAAATTGAAATAGACTGGAATAACCGGTATTCAAAGCAGAATGAAACGTCACGTATTACTATTCTCTTAGGTCTCTAGTGGAACAGAGGGCTTCAACAATACATCTCTATTCTTTTTATTTGATGTTGTCCTCTTCAGTTGGATACACGATGCCATTAATCTATCATCTCCTCCTCAAATGGTCTCCTCCATCTCAATTTCAGAAAACCCACTCGTCACTTCACAATGGGATTCCATTCAAGCAATGGTTGGTGCGCGATTTCTTTCGACGGCGTCCACAAAGTATGTCCGATCCATCTCCATTTTCTCCTACATATTTGTTGAGCAGTTGGCTCTTGGTTGGTTGTTCCCACAGTCTCTTGCTGCTGATTCTTTCTGGCTTACTATTTGATCTTCAGCATGGAGCCAGCGGAGGCTGCTGTTGATAACAGTCTGCTACCTGTTGAAAATCCTTTTCATGAAGCGCTGGCCAAGTTTCTGACCCATATAGCAGAAGTGACTGACTTCACGTTTTTGTTGAAAATCCTTATCTCGTTCTGTATGCTGGTTGAGTGCATAAGATTTTCAAACTGGTTTCAGGCTGATAAAGGCGTATATCGTCTTTTTGATTCTGACTTTGACATCTTTGTCTGTTCCACCTACAGTTGAAACCGTACTTCCTGGATAACTGAAGGAAGTTACCTCTGTCGAATCTCTCCTGTTGATGGTGATTGGTGCTGGTTGTTGTTGTTGCTAGTGGTATTTGATTATCTTTATCACCTTCATCTTACCATGTTCACCTGCAGTTCTGGCTTCTCCGACTGCTTCTTCAGCCAGTTTGTTGGTTTTCCTCTGCAAGTAATATACAGCAAATACTAAGTAATGGAAAGATACTGGAAACCGGAATTTCGGTTACAAGGCAACGGCATAGAAAACAATAATTACTCACATTACATAATGGTAATAGACAGTATAAAGTTAACCCAAAATTAAAGTCTGACGAACATCAGATTAGGAAGAAATCAACAATGACTATGCAACTCAAAGTAAATTACTGTTTCTGAAAGGATTACCATCATGTGCATACATCTTGGAAAATCAAGTAAATAAAATTCTTCATCACTGCTCATTTCCATTTGTATTCTCATAATAAAAGATATTTTAATGAAGAAAGCCGTCCATGACATAATGCAGCCTAAACTGACTTTGTTTTATTCGTAAGAACCTTGCACTTATCAAGTAAGCTATGGAATACCTAGTTATTGACAGATTGGCTGCCTAGAGGCGCATTAAGTAAGTTGGGAATGACCAGTCTAACCAATCTCACTGTCAAATGTGAAATTTAAATAAGGCAGTAAAAAGATAAATATAACCAGATGAGATCCATATTTTGGAAGCAGATGTGGGGTGAACATTACTTTCATTTCAGCAGTTGTGTTCATTTCCAATGCAAACGCTCCCTAGGAAATATCCGTGTAATTCACAAGAGCGACACATTGATGGGTGTGCTACATCAAATACATTCAGTTCTATTCGGTGATAGTTTCCTGCAAAACGTCACTGTACATCACCATAAACTGAAACTGCCTTTGAAATCACAGATTCCGTAGCAAGGAGACCTATCTGCATTAAACTACTACTCGAGGGTGATGGAATCATGCAGCTGACGGCTGAAAAGTTTAGGTCAGTCACCAAGTGCACATTCTTCACCGTCTCTTTTTCCTGACATCTCGAACATTGTCAATACCATGTACTTTCCATTATGAACGAAATTCACCTGCGGCTGTGGAGATACATATATAAGTAGGATCAACGAAACATTGCGATATCGTTGGAAAGAACATGTTCCTCAACAGTTATTAAGTCACATAAAATTCTATAGGTACTTAATCTGAATGCAAATTTAGTATCATTCATCGCTAAACATGTTTGCTCATAATATCAATAAAAGTGACTACTTCTCAATCATCACATGTAACTTAAATAACATTATTTTCAGATTAATAAAGTTGATTGAAGCATTTTAGATTAGTCACCTACATTGCAAACTGTGTGATCAGTAAAAACAGACTTCAAAATTCTCTTCCCAACGGTCTACTTTGCCAACAAAAGTATAACTGACTTTTACTACATAATATTAATTTATGTAACTGAGCATTTGTCAAACATTTCATTTTATCATTGTAAACCGTGACAGTTGTAACGCAACAATGGAATGATATCGTCCCACGATATTTGTATTCTTAAAGCCTAATTAAAACTTAACAAAGGAGTTGACTGTTCCTAAAAATGTGAAACTCTCAATGTTGTAATAAGTATGAAAGTTGATGGAAACTGAGTGAAATGAATGGCTGGATATTAGAAATAGGAATTCAGAATTGTGAAAACTCTCAAGAGAGTCATAAGTTCTCAATTTTTAATTAAACACCGGATTATTTGAGAATAATTATTCGAATTCCAGTAGCATCAGTAATATAAGCTTTCCAGAAAAGGGGATGAATGATAACTGTCATGATCTTATTTTCATCATATTTTTGGATAGACTTTTAAAATGGTAACCAATAAAGTTTCAGTTTGATTTATGCACAGTACATTGAGATGGCTGATAGTAAACGAGTTAACGATAGCCAGGCTTAACTGTACAGCCAGCTTTCTGATGTCATTGCCAACTGAATTTATAAGTCGACATGCAGTATTGGTAGCAAATACATCGTAACGGGTTCTACCATGTTTTATGAGCACGCCAAGGACGAGGAAGA